ACAGCAGAAATCAAAGTGTTTCACATTAAGGAGACCAAGGCAGTATAGAGCTGGATGCTGGGTGCATCACCTACATGGACCTGGGGCTGGACAGTGTGACGTCAAGCTAGCAGCTAATGCATGTGAAATGAGGGGAGCTCAAGAGGCTGACAATGCCTGTGAAAGAGAGACATCAATGATGATAAAGCTCTTGGGAGGGCCATACTAATAAATGGAAAAGTCATCTTCTGGGCCTAGGACGGGTGACAAGGAGGACACTGGTGTTATCTCCCAATTCAATAGTGGTTGCAGATTGGAAATCAGTGTGCTCAACACATGGTTTAATTTTGGCTTAAAAAACACACAAAAGCTCTGATCAGTGTAGATTCTGGGAAAATAGAGCCTTTTGTTCTTAGCGGAAAAGGGGTTTCAGAGAGCACATGGAAAGAAATGGGCAAAAATGAAACAAAAAGATGAGTTGGGGAAACAATTGCCATGTAATTATTATTAATTCATTAATTCAAGACATATTTCACAAGCAACTTCTTATTGCTGGGAATCATTCTAGGACCCAGGGATATAGCAGTAAACAATACAGAGAAAGTCTGTGGCATCAAGAATCTTAAATTCTTATTGATTATTTATATAGAATTTTGGAGGACATAGGCAGTTTATAGAGTTCTTTTTTCTTTACTTGTCCTAAATTGTTATAACTCTATGAATACTAGTTAAATAAATAGATAGAAAGAAAGAAAGAAAGAAAGAAAGAAAGAAAGAAAGAAAGAAAGAAAGAAAGGTTTTTTAGGGAAAATGCTGTCAAGAATAGCCAAAATATGAAAGCTAGGTATTTGTATAAGAGAGGAAAACTAGCCACCAGTCTAAAAGATATAATCCAAGAGAGGAGTAAAACAGATGAAGGATGAAGATGGGAAATCTTTAAAAGCCTGGGGTATGCAATTAGCACACATGACATTCTTAGACTAAATAATATATATCTATCTCATACACACACACATATATATGTAATCATTGTTATACACACATACATACATATGTGTATATGTGTTGATGTGTCGGTAATACTCTAAAATGACAATTTTTCCCAATCTCTAGGGAATATTCTGCATGATCTAGAAATGGCTTTATAAGCCAGTTCTCCACTTCATCTACCTGAGCCATATAATGAGAAATTTTTAATCTGTGGTCCCTATGAAAGAGAGCATCATTTCTTTCCAGACATGACCTTCCTTGTTATCATATCTGCAACAAATTAAGCTTCATGATGCAACCCACTGTTAAGATTTCCCTGTCGCAACAAACATTTCGTTTATACCCTTCTCCCTTTGGAAACTATCATGTAAATTAATATGCTGTGAAATTACTTAGAAATTGATTTCAGAGGCATCTGGGGGGCTCGGTTGAGTGTCCAACTAATGGTTTCAGGTCAGGTTATGATCTCATGGTTTATTAGTTCAAGCCTCACATGGGGCTTTGCACTGATGGCTTGGGATTCTCTGTCTCCCTTTCTCTCTCTGTTTCTCCTCTGCTTGCACTCACTCTCTCTCTCCCTCAAAATAAACAAACACTTTTTCTTAAAAAGAAATTGATTACATAATAAACAAGAGTTTCTTTTTAGTTCAGTATTATTATCTTTCTGCTATTGCATAGCGGCTGGACTTATGAAAAGCCAAAAGATGGAATAGATGTTTTCTTTCCAAAGAGGATGCAAGCATTGCCTCCTCGGGCATCTATCCCTGGTGACCTTCCATGTCCTTGGCCTGAGTGTCCCAAAGCTGGGTTCCCTTCCAAGTTGAGGCAGCAAGCTTAGCTAGGGCTTGGAATGGAAGCTGACAAAGCTCCTACAGGCCACTGAGAAACAGATATTCTGGAAAGAAAAGAAATAGCTTGTTTTGGGAGGATGTAAAATTATAATTTTTGGATATAAAAACAGTTTTTTCTTTCTTTATCCTTGAGCTCTGCTTCATTTGTTCTCAAATTAACCACTTGCAGTGGCTCACCTCAGGAAATAACAAGAACCTCTGAGGCTGAGCTGAACAAAGGACAGGGAACTGCATAGAGCAAGGCAGGCTGTGGGGGAGGTTTGCTCAGGCTTAGTGTTGGGGAGTCTGGGATGAGGACCACAGCTGGGGAGTGAAGAAATAGTAAAAGCAGAGCAAGGCCAAAGAGGTGCTTCAAGAAACTTGTCCTCTGTTACCTATTTCCCATTCACGGCCACTGACCTAGCTGAAAGTGGAGATGAATTACCTCTCGTCAGGGCTGACACTGAGAGGAGGAATCGCCAAGTACCCCGTCTATAATAATGGATTACGCAAAGCAAAACACCCTTACCCCTGAAATAGCTGGTCTTAAGATTCTATGCTGAGAGTGTCACTTTGTCTTTAGAAAGTGAACCACCTCATACTCAAATCACATTTTCCTATATGGAGCCAACTATTTACCTTGCCCACTTACTTTGGCTGCATTTTCAATGCCAGGTAGAATAAACAGTGCTGAATAAAAATGGATTTTTAAATAAAAGTCCTTGGCAATTGATTCTGTCATTTATCAGAATCATTTAGGATGTAAAAACAAAACCCCAGAAAATATACATTTTAAAATGTATCACTAACTTAAAAGAACCCTAAAAGTTTTATATATAATGACCAAGAAAAAGAATTGCTTAATTATAGAAAAGCCATACTTATTAGTCTAATAATAAACTGAAAATCACGAGGTCATCATTCTGTCTAAATCAAAACGAGATTCAAATCTTGACTATGATAAAAGCTCCAAAATGTAATGATATATGCAAATGGTTTTCAATAATTTTTATGAAACATTTCTGTATTAATCTTATTTTAGTACCTGCTCTTAAAAATAACATTAAAAACCTTTTATATCATGATTATCCCTGGTTATATAAACTTATTGGGAAAATATTTTTATCATTAAGCACTGCACCAGAGGGCTTAATTTAATCCTTAACTGCAAAGATTTGACATTAGTTATGAGTGAATATCCAACATATCCAACTGACAACAACACGATATTTCATACAATAGAGAGGGCAGTGTGAATGTGATTATAGAACTCTCAATATAGTTTTTAGTTAAAAACTGCATAATGAGGGGCACCTGAGTGCCTCAGTCGGTTAGGTGGTTGACTTCGGTTCAGGTCATGATCTCATGGTTCTTGAGTTCGAGCCTCGTGTCTGTTTCTGCGCTGACAGCTCAGAGCCTAGAGTCTACTTCGGCCTCTATGCCTCCTTCTCTCTCTGTCTCTTCTCCCCTGCTCATGCTTTCTCTGTGTCTCCTTCTCTCTCTCTCTCTTTCAAAAATAAATAAATATTTAAAAAATTGTTTAAAAACTGCATAATGAGCATCCTTCACAGTGGTTGGCATGTAATCCCATTGGATCTGATAGAAATTTCTTCATGAAGACACAGTAAATCAGGCATAAAGAACTTTAAATGTGTAAGATAATTGTTAAACAGTAACATGGTATCACACACATGGGATACAACAGTTATAGAAATACATTTCAGGAAAAACTTCAAAGACATTCTAACCCCAAAACTGAGAAAGAAAATTTAAGAGAATAGAAATACGTGGCAAATGGGAGGGAGTTTTTTGCTCCCACTTTAATTGCAGCAGTATTCTAGAAAACAATCCTTTTTGAATTTGGGAAGATAACAGTGTTGTCCATGCCTTTGCACTTCATTTTCTGAGGTACATAAAGTAGTAGAATAGACTAACAATATTTTTGTTTACATATTATCTCTAAAAAATCAATTATTTTGCTTCGTGCCATTTGAAAACTAATTGTTCATAACTAATGGAATTTACTTTTTTTGATTTGCAACTTGTAGAAAGTAGAAAAGTTGTCTGTTGTAAAATTAACTGGAATTGAAAAACTTTCTAAATTGTAATGACTAATCAGATTTTTTTGTAATGCAGTTGATTATGATTTTTATCAATTTTTATCAAGATTCTATCATTATTACACTGATATTAAAATGATAATAGCCCTCCTCACAATCTGTGTCCACAAGCATGTTTGGGTGCTTTTCATTATGATATTTCAGGTTTATGTATTTTCAGGCCACATTTTATAAACGTATTTACCTGTATCTTTGATAAAACAATGTACACTGGGAGTGGAATTCAATATCACTATGTTAAACACTTTTGCAATTAACTCATCAATGGTTTATAACAGTTATTTAACATCCAAGAAACACTCCAAGCCTTGGAGAATTTATGTCATTTTCTTCAGAAACTGGGAGTCTTCTCTTCCTGAGGATGAATGAGTTCAAATATCAAATATCATGGTTTGTAGAAATTCAGAAATAATGAAGTTTAAATGCATTCTGTATTAGATAAAATGATCACATCCTTATTGATAACAAAATTTCAGTAACACTAATGACATTTTACATTAAATCTTTGAAACATAGCAAAAAAAGAGCGATAGTCTAATTATAGCATAAAACAGTTGCAACACATTCTTTTCGTAAGAAGTCTCTCATTTGTGTTATTCAGCATATCATGAGGTGAGTAGTTGACCCTTTGTTCCATAAGATTGGCAGGTTTGGGGAACACCTCTTTCTTTACCATTTGTCCTAGTAAGGTAACCACTCTAAATCCAAGCCTCTTAGAAGGATTCCTGTATCAACACATTGAAAGCAACCTGCATAGTCCGCTAGTCCATTACGACAGTTTCCAGTAGTTACTGATGTTTTTTTGTTGTTTTTATTTTTTCCTTCCAGGCAATGATCATTCTTAGATCAATTTTGTCTGCTTCCACAAGGCTTAGCCTTTAGTAAGCGTAAGTACAGTTGGAGATTTGAAAAGTTTTAGTTAGAAACTCAAGTCATCCAGGTATCTGTGAAGTACACAAGTGCTTTACAGCTAGTCTTTGACCCTGCGTTCGTAACACAGGGGTCACTGTTTCATAAACCACTATTTCTTTGCCTAGGATGACAGTGAGTGACATTCACCACTGACACACAGCCTCTTCTTTCAGACCTCTAGCCATGCTGCTGGTAGTGATGACGATCGTGCTTGCTGTAGAGAGCTGTGCAGTAAAATATTTTGCATGGGCTAATTAGCAGGTGCCAGGTGGGGTTTGAAGCAGTGGTTCTCAAATGTGAAGGTGCTTCAGAATCATCTGTAGGGCCTGTTAACATGTGGATTTCTGGGTGTCACCTCCAAAGTTACTGATTCAGCAGATCTGAGACAGGGTGGAAATGTGCATGTCTAATAAGTTCTTAGGTGAGGCTGATGTTGATGGTTCAGAAACCACATTTTGAGAGTCACTGATTTATAGCAAAGGAATCTTGACTTCTGAGTTTGTCCTTAACCTGCCATCCTATAGCTGCTGCTTCTATGAGCCTCTTTTTCTCTCCCTCTGTCTTGCTCTCCTTCTCCCAATCCCTGTCTTTCTTAAATGGTAAGGAACTAGATATATTACAATCTATGTAACTTAGCTCTTATTCTGAGACACTATTTAGGCATTAAGGCATATTATCAATATTACTTGAAGTACCCTCAGACTATTTAAAATGCTAGCTCCCATCACAATCTGAAAATTACAACCCTCCTTTCATGTAGCATAGATAAGAAAGTTCTCAAATGTACAAAGGGAAGAAAGGAGAGAGTTATAACACTTTGCTTTTGTTGACATCTTTCTCATAATTAACAATTTAATTTTGATAAAACTTGTATACAAGAGTCATTCTGACTTTGACTAGGAAAAAACACATGGTGGTCGCACGTTCTAAAACAGGAAAGCAATTTGTCAATAATCTGGTTGTGTTACGTCTTTCGGAAAGTGATGAGTTGGGAAGTAGTAAGAAATGAACAAGATAACTTTTATCTCCTAATAAAATCTTTTAAAAATATTGTTCTCCACATCTTTTATTTCAGTAAAATAAGGACATCTGCTGCTATCACATGAGCAGAAGAACAGTTTTCATTAATATCTCTTCTACTTTTAATTCAATTTTGAAGTGAGTATTTGAATTAGAAGAATTTTGCAGAGGGACAAGTTTGAGATATTCAGTGCTTTGAATCACAGATCTCACATTTGTACAGAATATGCTGGGTGGCTTCTCATGTGGGTGGGAGCTAAGAGCCAGCCCTTACATTCTAGCCACCTGCCGGTCTACACAGAGTCTGCGGACATTGACCATGTCACTGAATGAAGCAGAAACAGCACAACTCTACTGTTTATGTCCCATGTGGGTTGCTTCACTGCTTCACCCACATTCAAATTTGTCCCCTAGAGAGGTTTGTTGCCCTGCAAACTCTATCAACATGTCCCCCTCAGTAACCTAGAGCAATTTTGAAGGCACGTGTACATCCACCCCTACCTCATTCCCTAGCACCTAGCACAGTGGGTGCTCTTTTGTAAATATGTGATAAATGTTTATGAAATGTAAATAAATGCAAATGTTTACCAAGGAATCTCCATGGCAGTAATAACTGCCTCCAAAACGGGACCCAGATGTGATTTCGTAGTCCCTGTGCTATCCCTTTCTTCTGTAAATTGCATTCTTAATCTAATCCAGCAAGGTCAACTGCATCATTTTTATTGGTTAGAAGAGTCCTATGTGATTCTCAAATGTTGAAGTATTTTCTTAGAGATGGAGATTGTTATGTATTTGTAGTTACTCCAAAATTGTTATTTTAATACAGTCTTACTGGCCATATGTTGAGATGAGAAATGTTAGCAATGGTAAGGTTACAAACCTGAGAAAAGTGTGTAAATGGGTGAGAAGATTAATGGAAAATAAAGCCTAATAGTATATATTTTAGACAGTTTTGAAATATAACTTTTGAGAGTTATCTAATATAATATGCTATTTTGTATATAAATATTCTTTCAGATGGTACATCATAATGACAGTCTTTTGAGACTTTTTTAAAACTGTGAAGTCAACTAACATGTCTCTTGTTAATGCAGAGTTAGTAATTACCACTTCTTTTTGACAAAAGAAAATCATTGGATTACTTTTGGCAATTTTTTGCAGTTGATCTGAAGGTGAGAGATTAAAATAACAATTAGAATTTAAAAATATTCAAACATTTAATTGACATAAATCATAATACATGAAGCTAAAAGTGAAATAGGCTGAAATAAATTCAGCTGAAGGTCAGACTTCTAACACGTTTAAATCAAAAGTGGAGAAATTATATTAAACTGACTTTGTTTTTTTTTAATTTACAAAGAGCAATAGATTAAAATGAGAGTAAGAAGGAAAAAAAACAAAAAAAGGTCCACAAAGTAATTTTAGCGTCAGATCATTATGATAATAAAGTTTGTGTGTACAGAGGTCTTTAGAAAGGAATAGTTTTACTTGGATATCCCTGTAATACGAAAGAATGTTCTACCAGTTTTGAAGTGGCCCTGCTCCATTGGCTGTTGGGAGTGTGCTTATGCTGGTGAGCACAACTTGCTCGGAGAGTTTGGATATGTTGTCAAAGTTGCTGATCTGGGTGGTTAAGGACTTCCGGCTCTCTGTGCTGGTTCGGCCCCGCGTGAGCCGGTCCTCCTGACGATGGTGAACTCCAAGGCAACAGCAAGAAAATGCAGCTTTAAATTCCTCTCGAAACTTTCCTGGCAAACCGGGGAGAATGAAAGGAAAAGGAATTATGCATACATGTTTCAACAAATCCATGAATATGGTACAAATGAGTTGCTCCCTTGAGCAACACTAACAATGAGATACAACATTTTAGGGAAAGTGGGGAATAGGAATAGAAAACTGTGTTATTAGAAGCTTGGTAGACTCCTGAAAAAAGGTATTTCCTTAAATAATGTAACTGCTTTTCATGTATGATGTTTGGAGTTTGATTTATTCTTTCAGGGGTCAAACCTTCTGTATTTGTGAATGTGGGTTATTTGGATAACTCCAATAAAAGTGACCATTAGTAGGATGTCCAGAGATATTTAATAACTTCAAAAATTATGAAGGCTGTATATAGCCATGACTATACTGAAATTACCCCTGCATTGTCCTCTGAAGAAACTGTTCTATTGGCACACTCAGATCAACAAAGGATCTAGAAAAAAATTTAAAATATGTAGAAAATCTCTAAAGTTCCATTATCAGCATAAAGCAGAATGAAAAACTAAAAGTATCAACCTCAGAAGTTATTTATTGCCTTTAAAATTACTGACATGAAACTGGAGATGTATGAAAATGAAATAATCATCTTTTTAAGGAGAAATGAACAGTACTGGGAACAGTATTTCTCTCTCTCAGCCTCAATTAGCAAACTGGGTGATTGAGTGACCACAGGAGAAATGAAGGGTCAAAGGTGTAGGAAAATATCAGGCACCTGCCAAGCCCCCCGTGGTTATCAGCCACCTCCCTTGCCTCACTCAAACCTCAGATAGCACTTTGACTAGCTTCTGTGGCCTTGAATTCAAATACTTCTCCCTACAATATCCTAGTGGGTTTTATCTGCTTAGTGCAAAGGTCAGGCCCTTAGTCATTTCCTAACCCTAAGGCAATGGCTTCTTCACTGCTATCGAAGCCACAACTCCACATGGCCCCTTGTCCCTTCAAACACAGCACATGAGCAGTGAGCTGTATCTGGTTATATCAGACCTAATGCCTTTTTTATTTTAGAGACAGTTATTGAATGTGGCAGGGGAAAACATGAAAAGGGGCAACAGAATACAAAATTAAGCTCAAATATACACCACCTGAATCTCTGAAAGGTGAAATCAAGCAGGTATATATACGGTATATGCCATGATCAAGAAAAAACAAGAAAAGTTCCTGGAAAAAATCTTATTGATGGATTGTCTTTTATTGTAATAACCTATACAACCCGCAAGGCTAAATAGGAAGTTGGAAAATACACATATTTTATTAAATATACCATAAAATGAATTGTTTTTTCTTCCATATAAAGGTATCATATATTTGGGGATAGCATGAGAAAGAAATAGCCAACCGATTAGAGAAGAAGACAGTGTATAGATGTAGCTAATTAAAACACAGCTTTAGAAGTCAGCCAGGCAAATGTTTATAAATAAAACAATTAGTTAAATGATTTTTATAATTATGTTGGTTCAATAAACAGAGACAGATTAAATCAGTTGTGTGTCTGTGTGTGTGTGTGTATGATTTAGTTTGTGTGTTGTTTAGGAATAATATCATTTTCTCAGTAGTCAGTGAGAAACCTTGAGATAAACCCAAGAGGTGTAACTCATGAGAGAAATATAAATATAGAAACATACCTAAAAGTGGAAGGGTTCCAGTTCAACCTCAATTAGGCAATCTCAGTGTTGTCCAAGGAAATAATATAGCAAGTCTGTTTTATTTTCAGATGAAATTATTTTACATTTTGGTAGATCATAAGTTTAATGTTTGGCAAGCAGGACTGTGTTATCCAGTTCTTAAAATTTTCACTTTCCTGTTTCAACATGTCTTTTAACTTTTATGGGGAAAATTGCTCTCTGATGATACTCTCTGATGAACTAGGTAACAGGTGCTCCCTCTCATAAGGGGAAAAAAACCCTCAAATTACATCAGGAGAAAAAAATTCTCATTATATACCAATTAAGCTCTTTACACATTTCAAGAGTATTCAACACCCTCTGGTCATTGATCTCTAGCCCTTGGTTAGAATTGTGGTTTGCATGGAAGGAACAGTTGAAAACTCACCACTGAGGAAATTATAAATAATAGGGTTCGCAGCACTATTGGCATATACAAGCCAGTGTGAAAATGTAAACCATGCATATACAGTCTCTCTGTCTTCTGTGTGGGTAAACATCCCAAACACTCTGTAGGAAAAACAAAACAAACCAAAAAACAATGACAGAAAATCCAATGTGATTTTCAAAAGTACCTTGCAAATAATGAAATTCAAGGGTGAACACAGCCCTTGATCGAAGCTGCTTAAGCCCTGTTCCCCCCTGCAGTAGGCATTGGTTTATGGTACCATGGTGGGTTCAGAAAAACCTCAGTACCGGAACAAACTCTCGATGGCACGATTAGTAAATTAAAAGCCAAACTGGGTCAGAGAAGGATCTCTCTCTCTCTCTGTCTCTCTCTCATTAATAACAAAAGCAATACTATTTGTGGTGGGTAAGAGTACAGAAGTTAAATATATATCTATGTCTCTTCTTTCATATTGTTTCTAAATACCATTGAACAATGTTTGCTAATATTCTCTTTTGGGCATCATTTAAAAAGCACTCCTAAACTGCAGTCTCTGAGTACTTCTTCCCCCTGCCTTTGTACATGGATCAAAGTATCACAGTTCTTCAACTAAAACCTCCCCAGTCTTGTTGAAATTTGCCTTCTGGGAATTCATTATGGCCAGAGAGGAACTAGTTTTCAGTAGGTAAAATTCCGGTAATTTCTTAAAATTCATGAGTTTTAGTGTTTTGTTGATTATTTTAAACTCCGGGGACACCCAGATGGCTCACTCAGTTAAGTGTCCCACTCTTGATCTTGGCTTAGGTCATGATCTCTCATGGTTTGTGAATTCAAGACCCGCATCTGGCTCTGCACTAACAGCACAGAGCCTGCTTGCAATTCTCTCTCTCCCTCTCTCTCCGCTCCTCCTCCCTTTGTGCTCACTCTCTCTCTTTCTCTGTCTCTCTCTCTCTCTCAAAATAAATAGAAACACATTAGAAAAATCTTTACTATTTTAAACTCTGAAAAACACTTGTTTATTTTATCCTTAAACATCATTTTTATGATTTGCTTCATACTCAGAAATCTCTCTCAAATTCTATTCACTAGACAATAGCAGGTAACTTGTAAGCATCCAGAAATTAATTTTATAGGCTGAAGATTATAATGCATTTCCTGCCAGAGGCTCTATCAATGACTGTGTAATTTGATTATACATGATGATGCCTTTGATAGATCTGCATTTCTGTAATCAAGTGATGCTCTGTGAAGTACTAGAGTTTTACAAAAATATAATATGGAGTGAAAAAAACATGGACAAATGGAAGTAATGGTCTGTTATGACCCTCCACCATAATATATCTTTGAAATCCTAGAAAAACTAGAATTCCTTTAAAGAAGCTGCTTTTGACTAGTTGAGCAAAAACATTTCCAGGAAAAAGGATTTAGGTATGCAGTGGTGAGAGAAAGAAACCACAAGCATAACCTATGAGAGCAAATAAAAAGATAAGCATTTGAAGAAAATGCTCATAAAGAGAAAAATAATTTTCAGGTCTACTTAAAGTGTCCCCCCCCAAATTTTATGGAAAATAGCAGAATGCTAAAAGAAAAAAAATTGACAATATTATAGATTTTCTTCTTAGCCATTTATTTCCCTTGGAAAAGGAGATCTTGAAGGTGAAAAAATAAGAAAAATATAGTGGACAAGTAGGTATTTGGAACTAACTAAAGGACAGGTACAAATGCTAGGATGCAGGAAATCCAAATGAGCAATCCAGAGAGCAGTGAGTTTGACTTTCATCGAACTTAGACACACTACGAAGTCCAAAAATTTTTTTAAAGAGGAGAAAATCATTCAGTATCATAGCATATTTATAAGGCTCTTAGGCGTAGGAAACATCATCTAGCCAAAGACCAGAATAAATTTGTATGGGATTTCTGTGGTCCAGGAAAATAAGAGAGGAACTATGAAAAGCTCTGGAGGGCAAAGTCACTATCGTTTTCTTGTGAGTCAGGATCCGTCTCCAGGATACATACTGCTCAAAACCTTACACCCTTGAGGCTGTGTCTATACTAAATAATATTACTGAGGAAAAAGTTCACTTTCCATCGAAAAAGTTATTAAGCGCTCAAAAACAAGGGCCAAGGAGAATGAGAAATCTTTGCAGCTGGCTATACCACCTTTAGCGCTCGTGACTCCAGCCAAAGCTGCCGCTCTCCGGAGTCTCCAGCTGTGTGAGGAAAAGGATATGGACTCTGAATCAGGGAAAACTGAGAGGAGCAATCCCGTTTAAGTTCCAAGTCCTATTATAAACAAAATTACTATTACCTTGGGGCCAGTCTGTTTGCAACAGTTATGATAATTCCCAATAAAATTGGCTGGCTGTGAAGTTCATGTGGACTGTGGCCCCTGTACTGGCTGTTCATGTTGGTCAATTGTTTTCACTTAACGGTGTATCTGCGGCTTAACTTTTCTCTTGCAGAAAAGTTTTGTGGTCATTTTTATTAATAGTCACCCTGAGCTTAATTCAGTGTCTTCAGGAAATGGATTTCCTTCCTTCCTTCCTTCCTTCCTTCCTTCCTTCCTTCCTTCCTTCCTTCCTTCCTTCCTTCCCTCCTTCCTTCCTTCCTTCTTTCTTTTCTTTTCTTTTCTTTCTTTTCTTTTCTTTTCTTTTCTATTCTTTTCTTTTTTCTTTTCTTTCCTTTTCTTTCTTTTAGTTTTATTAGTAGTCAACCTGAGCTTAATTCAATGCTTCAGGAAATTGATTTTCTTCCTTCCTTTCTTTTTCATTTTAAACATTTAAAGCATAGTATGAGTCCTAATTCCATTTGTGTGTGTGTGTTCACAAATGCACTTTTAAGAATACTGAGAATGCTAACAAAACATTATCTCTTTTGTATTTTTACATAGAATTCTGTCATAATTCCCTATGTATGAGAACAGGATTTTAGAAAACCCATTTGTTCTGATCAAAAAAGAACTCCAAGCTGTAAAGCTGTAAATGAGGTGGTTCTTTCTTTCTTTCTTTCTTTCTTTCTTTCTTTCTTTCTTTCTTTCTTTCTTTCTTTCTTTCTTTCTTCCTTCCTTCCTTCCTTCCTTCCTTCCTTCCTTCCTTCCTTCCTTCCTTCCTTTCTTTTGCATTAGAATTTTTTCTGCATCTAAGGCTCAGCAATTAGCTTAAGGGGGTCAGGGGACATCTGTTTTATGTCTGCCATTCAACAGAGAATTTCCATGGATAAGAGCATGTAGAGCCTGAGCACTCTAAAAATGCCACCTGCCTTACCTGCTAGTCACAACACATTCAGTTATCTGGCCTGACGACTTTCTAGGCAAAGGGCTTAGATTTTTCTCTGGCTTAAGAAGAAAGAAAAAAAAGTACTTAATTAAAAAGCGAGAAATGACAGCCACTTTACTTTGAAAGAACAGATGAACTTTACCTCTTTAGCACATTGAGGATGCTAATCGGTAGATAGCAAATTGCAAACACCAAAAGCACAACCATTAGCATCCGGGCTGTTTTCCGTCTGGCTCGGATCTGCTTTATTTCAGCGGCCACAGCACTAATCCTGGACTTGGTCTGCTGTCCCGACCCTCGAGGCTGTGAAGTAGGCTGCAGGGGCTTCCATTTTCTCTGAACTACAGATGATGTTCCAGGGATCTGAAAGGAGCAGAAAATCTTTATTGCCATCTGACACAGGGACATTTCACTTTGGAGAAGTAACTAGAAGATAAAGGAAGGAGGTTGTTCTGGATGCCTGTGGTCCAGGCAGGCCTCAAGATCTGTTTCCCTCAGAATGTTTTCTGAGTTAAGTATGTTCTTGAGTAATAGAGCTGAGTGTCAAATAGGATTTGTAGTGGAAAAGAAAAGTTGAAACATCCCATTAAAAAAAAATTAATGTTTATTTGAGGAGGGGGGGAAGGGCACAGAAAGAGAGACACACACAGAATCTGAAGCAGGCTCCAGGCTCTGAGCTGTCAGCACAGGGCCCGACACGGGGCCTAAACCCACAAACTGCAAGATCATGACCTGAGCCCAAGTCAAATGCTTAATGGTCTGAGCCACCCAGGTGTCCCTGAAACATCCCATTGTTGTCAAGGTCTAAGAGAGCTGCAAATGGAAAAGCTATCTCTTTATAAAGAGAGAAGTTGTATATCCAGACAATGGAATATCATTCAGGACTGAAAATAAGTGAGATATTAAGCCATGAAAAATCACAGGGAACTTAAATGCATATTACTAAGTAAAAGAAGCCAATCTGACAAAGCTCCTACTATATGACACTGAAGAAATGGTGAAATTAGAGAGACAGCAAAAAGACCAATGGTTGCCAGAGAGTGGGGGTGGGATGGGATGGGTGGCTAATAGGCAGTTCAGATAGCTCAGTTTAAAGACAGGGAAAACCTTGTAGGTAATTGCAAAAGTAACCTGAATGGATTTTTTCATGCATCACTACTGCCATCTGCTGTCAGCCGGATAGATAGGACTTAACTACCTAGTGCTTGTTATCCGACTTTGTTTCTCAGGTTTGGCCAATGCAAACCTTGAATGAAGGGACTAAAAAAAAATCAAATGTTCTCCATTGTTTACAATTTATTGTTATGAAATGCTTGAAACCAATTTTGTGTTCCAGTCTGGTTCTTTAAAATGCACACAAAAACAGCGAGAATCCCTTGTGGTCTTACATTAACATTTCAAATAGCTGGAATTTGTAACAAGAGTTATACAACTTGTACTTTTCCATGTCTTTTCAAAGTTATTTGATAATAGCAGGGAGTCCTTCCAAGTATAATATTTTCTTAATTATAAGCTCATGAAGATTGATAGGGTTTACTGCGCAAAACAATAAAATTCAGCACGCTTAATTTTTTAGAGGAAAATGTGCCAACAAGCACACCATAACCATGTTCTCATTCTAAGGAAGACTCACTCTGTGGTCACCTTAGTTCTGTTAAGATTATTCAATTGTTGCTTTTATCTCTGTGCTGCAAGCCAGGACAGACCATTGTGTTCCTGTGCTCTATGAGAATGGACATTGTATGGATTCTGTTGCTATGTATCACAAGATCCAAGTATGTTACAAAATCTTTGAAAACAGAATTTTACTTTGATTTCCACACAAATTAATATCAAGCTTCTGTTGACCAATAGCTATTCTCTCTCAAAAAGAAACACATGAAGTTAATGAAAACTTGCCCTTAAATAGAAAAACAGATGATAAATTATTTCTCTTCTGGCTCTGTATGTTCTGTCTTGTAGACTTGACCTTTCACATAGCAGTGATCCTAAATATCTTATCTATATTATTGGTTGGGGGAGGCAGTGAGAATCCTTCTCCCTCTGTGAGTCTCTTTTTTAAATAGTCATTTTTAAAATAATTGAGGAGAAGCCGCAATGGATGTTGGAAAGTTCCAAAAACACTCTAGCATGAGTAACCCTATAAATGTCTGCTAAATGATCTTGAACTGTTTTCTAAATGATCTCTGAGAGATCATTTAAACTTTAGCAATTCTATTATTGAGTGCTCCCCTGAAGGAAAGAAACAATATCCTGCTGCTGATAACTTCCTCAACCATCAGAAACAGATTTCCCATAAAGAGAAACTGCCACAGGGAAAATGGCTATGGTCCCTGCCATCAGAATTAAAACAAACAAAACCAGTGATAATGTTGTCTTTTAGCTGAGGACCTAAATAAAGACAAAAGATGTTAAATCCTGAACTCATCTTGAGGAGACCTACAAATATTTCCACTGCTATGTCACATGTCTAGAGAAAGTCTGCATAATGATACTAGAAACCACCTATAGTAGCTGAGCATCAGGAACTATGTACAGTCCTGAGTAATCATTAATGTGCTACTAAAAGCAGATTATTACAAATTCCATTTATAGATGATCAAGCAGACATTGAGAAGGCTTAAATAAAATACCCATGTCTCCATCTAACAAGTTAGAATTAGTATTCAGGCCTGTCTGACTGCAAAACCCATCCCTTCCCATTCTGATGTAAGGTTTCCATTTATAAGCTTCAACATAATGTATTATGGAAGTCAGCAAATTTTTCAGTATATGCCTAGTTACAAGGAATAATAATCATACAAAAGGGCATTAGAAATCCAGGTAGGCTGTCCACATAGGAAGGTCTTTCCCTGACTTCTTAGGAAAGGCTCAACCATCTGACTGTGGAAAGCTCATGTACACACATACACACACACACACACACACACACACACACACACACACACTACATTTATTCCACTATTTTAAATAAACTTTAAAATCATCTTTGATATGAAAATATATCCTGGAAAAGATATTACCACAATTATGAATTGGAAACATCATGTAAATGATGGACCTTGAAACTTGCCCTTTCTTTTTTTTTTTAATAGTTTATTTATTTTTGAGACAGAGAGAGACAGAGCATGAGTGGGGGAGAGGCAGAGAGAGACAGAGACACAGAATCTGAAACAGGCTCCAGGCTCTGAGCTGTCAGCACAGAGCCTTACGTGGGCTCGAACCCATGAACCGTGAGATCATGACCTGAGTGGAAGTCAGATGTTTAACCAACTGAGCCACTCAGTAGCCCCAAAACCTGCCATTTCTTAAAAACTATTTGTGACCAGGATTAAGCCACAAGAGAAAGCAAACATGCTGCATACATTAAAAGGAGAATAGTGGATATTATGAACAACCAATACATCTGTAAACTTAAATGAGATGGATAAATACCTTTAAAAAAAAAAACAAAGATTACCAAACTGACACTATAATTCCAAGCCTTCTTACAAATTTTTTTTTAAAAAGGTCCAGCCCCAGATAAGGATCTTTGATCAATTCGATCAAACAGTATAAAATAAATACTATCAGTCTGATTCAAACTCTTTCTGAATTCAAAGAAACAGTAATACTTTCTGACCAATTTTATAAGACCACAGTTGTCCTAAAAATCAAAGACATGACAACAAAAGAAAACCATTGATAAATTATCTCTCATGAATAGAGATGAAAAATTCCTTAAAATACACTATCAAATTGTATTCGGCAATATAAAAAAAGATAATAAAATTCACTCAATAAAACAATCAGATTGATTGCAGGAATGCAGTGTTGATTAACCATTCAAAAGTTAATGTAATTTATCATATTAACAGAATAAGAGAAAAATATGACCATCTCAATAAATAAAGGAAACTGCTGACATGGGTATTGTGTGCTGGAACCCCACACCCCAAACATTAGAATTAAGTCTGGAAAACCTCAAAGAACTTCTATAAACCATTAATACACAACTGAAAAATTCAATTACAAAATAACACAGTTTCAAAGGAAAGAACAAGTATTCTTACTCATTAACAATACATAGACAAAATATGTACACATAAAATTATAAAAATTGTTACGAGCTATCAAAAAAGACCCAAATAAATGGGGAGATACAGCATATCAATGGATTAGAACTTAAAGTTATTAATATGTCAATTCTTCCCAAGCAGATCCATAGATTAAACACAATCAATCCCATTCAAAAAAAGCAGCAATTTTCTTGAGGAGGGTGAAACATGAATTTGCAAAATGTTTATGAAAATGCAAAAGGGACTGGAATAACCAAAATACTTTTTAAAAATGAACAAAGTTTGAGAAAAAAGAAGAAAGAGTCTGATAAATGTAATTTGCAAGTCACCTCATTTAAAAAGTGCTTGGAAAATAGATCACCTAAAAAGGCTGTGCAGTTATGAAGGAACCTGGGACAGAGTCACTTAATGGTCAGCAAAGGGAATATATATATTCAAAGCAATGAGAAGCAGAAAGGCAGACAGGAGGGCCATGAGGTGATATAGAAACAGGCCATGAACAATACTGATCAATGCTGGCAAATGACCAAACAAGAAATCCTTAGGGAAACATGGTTTGGAAATCATTGGTGACTTTAGTAAGAGATGTTTCAGTGATAGAATTTGAAGGAGAATAAAGTGGGCTGAGAGATCAGTGGGGGTGGAAGGTGGTGAGATAAAAAGGAGCCAACTAATAAAAATGTCATGCATTTTAACTAGCAAGAGGAGGAAAGAGTTAAGCTAGGAGTTGGAAGAGTGAGAGTTAGGACAAGAGTTAGTCCTTAAAAATGCCCATGCCCAGAGGACACGTCTTCTTTACCTTTCCCCTATTTCTTAGCTCATTACCCGTTTTATCATAAGAGAGTACAAGCGATGCTTGGTAGATGTCATCTTTTTTTTTTTTTTTTTTTTTTTTTNCAGAGGACACGTCTTCTTTACCTTTCCCCTATTTCTTAGCTCATTACCCGTTTTATCATAAGAGAGTACAAGCGATGCTTGGTAGATGTCATTTTTTTTTTTTTTTTTTTTTTTTTTTGGTAGATGTCATCTTATATAAAACTATAATCTCTATCTTCCTGCGTGTGTCTGGCAGGAACAGGGGGACTTTTTCTTACTCTTTACACTACCATTTGAAAATGATTGGGCTTTAACACTCAGGAACGTTGTTTTCCATATAACTCCATGACTTTTTTATTTTTTTAATTCTGCCACAGCCCTTTTACTTATTTATTTTTAAATGTTTATTTATTTACTTTTGAGAGAGAGAGCGTGTGCAAGAGCAAGAACACATGCAGGGGAGGAGCAGAGAAGGGAGACAGAATCTGA